CAATAAAACTAGATGGTGAGTGCCTGATTGAATCGATCAAATCATGTAGGAATAAAATTCAAATCTTTTGATTTATTAGGATGCTAGTTTATGGCTATTTCTCTATTGCACCAATTACTGTTTTATTGATTTTTTTTCTTTTTTCATTAATATGCTTGTGATTTAACTTTAATTGTTACAAGTTGGAAGCTACCTCATTTTAAAAATTGGAGCAATAATGGAGAAAATAATTCTAAGATTGTAAGCAGTGCATTTTAATGGGAGTAACTTTTCTACCTTTTTTATGATAAATAGAAATATAATAGTTTATGGTGTGCTCCCACCAAGGTCATAATAGTCCTTTAACAAGCATTTTAAGTAGGTTTATAGTCATCTCAATATGGATAAATTATTACGTGCAGTCACCGGGCCATCCTGATGCAAATCAAGATGCATCATATCACCCAGTACACAACAGTACATATCGTCGGTACACAACAACATGATGATGTGGCACATCTTGATTTGCCTCCATATAACATTTGTTTACCGCATGTAATAATTTCTCCTTAATATGAGCAACATAAAGATGTGATAAGAAAAAGTCAGACAAATGTATGAATGATGAATATTATTCCATGACTCCCCTAAAGGTTCATGTATAATAGGAAGAAATCATGGAAGGAGAGCAATCAAACATGTTTACTTTACTAATGAAAAGTTTAATAAATGCATGATCAATCAACTGCTAGTAATATATTTATTGGACCTTCATGAATGTTATGCTTATAATCAAGGCTATTAAAATAGGACTGGACTGGCCAGTTCAACAGGTTGAATCACGAACCGGCCAGCCGACCGGTTAAGGTTCAAAATAAAACCTATTTTGCTGAAAACCAACACCGAACTGTTCAAATCGGTGGTTCTATCACCGAACCGATGAACCAATTCCGATTTCCTTTAACCTGTCCGTTCGCTAAAAAAAATTGATGGATGGGATGCATTATGTGCGTATAGTGGAGCGGCGGAGCCACAAAATTATACGAAGGCTTGTGTCGTGCGGCATTGCAAGGCAAAACAAAAAAAAATATCTCGCTCAGCTGGCATTCTCCGCCTCCGTCGTCTTCTTCTCCGCTTGCGGCGTCTCATCTAGTTTGAGAAGCAAAATCGCTTGTGGTGAGTATGCATTATCGACATTTGTGAGATTGCGGTGGCATTTGTATTCTTTTTCTTTGTGTATTGTTTAGATTTACTCAAAGTTTGAAATCACAAGGCAATAAATCTTTACACACGATCACTTATTTCTCCCATCGTTCTCCATTACTCATGCTATCTACTTTACACACAAGCAGAAACCAAAATTCCAGCCTCCCCTACTCTTATTCAGTTCGAATGGTTGCATCAAAAAAATTTGAATGATTGCAAATGTAGTGTACAATAAAGAATATAAATCTGTTCAAATTTTTAGTGCTTCTTTTGCACCGTGAAATGGAGTGTAGCATTTTGGCAGTAAGTGGAGTTTATCATTTTGGCATCTTGTATTTGTCTGATAAAAATTTATATGGGTAGAATGGCTATGTAACCCCTCCGGCAAAAACCCCATTAGAATATATTCCAAACCCAAAAATATGCTGTAATGAAGAAATGGTTGTTGAATCCTATGAAACTTTTTGGATTTAAGGATTTACATTTACTGAGGATTTAAAGATTTACTTATTTAAGGATCTAATGACAATTTATAGGTCACGAATCAAAAATATGCGGTAATGAAGAAATGGTTCCAAACGATTATTCCAGAACATAAATTTCTTTTTTCTTGATCATTTATTTTCACATCATGCTAATTCTATTCCATTTATTTTCACATCATGCAAATTTAGGTATTTGTTTAATCTTATTTCATTTAAAATCCTAACTCCATCACTAAAATGATAATTAATTTAGTTTTTTATGATCATTTATTTATGAAATCTAGCTACCACTACCAATGCGCAAGATACTGAAGCCAAGGGCACATGCATATTCAGATATTCCATTAAATAAGTGTGGCATATGTATATTCTATTTAAAGTTTCAAACATGCTTTCTTTATGGAGTTCTTCTATACTTTTTAAAGGTTGGATACTTTAGGCTATGGTGGAAGTTCAAGTGAGATAAAGTATGCATTGTGTGTCATTTCAGCTTTGCAAATTTTAAAATTGCATAGTTATCTACCTTGCATAGTTTTTAACTTTATAGTTTTCTACTTTGTAGTTTTCTACCTTGCATAGTTTTAATTTATGTTTATGTGATTTTATTTAGTAAATCAAATTAGAATGGAAGCACCTAGTAATCATACTTCATGTTCAACTTATACTGTGCATGAGAAAGTGGATATTTCTTGGAATCATTTTGCTGAAGTCAAAGGAGTTGATGAGAAGAAAAAATTTAAATGTTTATATTGTGGTATTTCATATAAGGGAGGAGGAATTAATAGAATGAAATAACATTTAGCAGGTGTAAAGGAGAATATAGCTTCTTGCAAGAAGGTTTCACATGATGTTAGATATAAAATGCAGGAAAACTTGAAGGAAATTTTAAGAAAAAATAACAAGCACATGAAGAGTTGGACAGTACATCATTTCCTATGGATGATCATAGTTGTTGATGTCATTGCTGCGATAGGTCCTGGATATAAGCTCCCTAGTTATCATAACATGAGAGTAAACCTACTTAGGGATTGCAAGGAAGAATGCTTGTTACTCATTGATAGTTATAGACACACTTGGAAGATTGATGGATTATACACTTATGGAAGATTGATGGACTGATAGTATGAGCAAAATTTTAATCAATTTTTTAATATATTATCCATGTGGTGTTTCTTTTTTAAAATCAGTTGATGCTTTAGACATCACAAAGGATGCTACCACATTGTGCTCTTTATTTACTGAAGTTGTTGAGTGGGTTGGACTAGAGAATGTTTTTCAAATAGTTACTAATAATGCTGCTAATTACAAGAAGATAGGTCAACTATTACATGAAAGCTTCAACAATATTTACTGGTCATCTTGTGCTACACATTATATTAATTTAATTTTGAAAGATATTGGAAGCATGCCTTTCATAGAGGAACTAGCAAAAAAAGCATCGAAGTTCACAATTTTTTTATTGTAATCATATATTCAAAGTTACATGGCTTAGGAGAACACCAGGTTGGAAGGAGATCGTACGTCCTGGAGCAACCCATTTTGCAACAACCTTCATAACTTTGAAAAAGTGTACATGAGCATCATCATGACCTATAAGCACTAATCAAAAGAAAATTCTTTATAGATTCAAAGATATCCAAAATCTCCAAGGGAAAAGAAGTAGCTTCAATTATTTTAGACTTGAGATTTTGGGATTATTGTTTTATTATTTCGAAGATATCAAGGCCTTTGATTAGATTGTTTATTATTGTTGACTTTAATGAAAAACCATATCTTGAATATTTATATGATGGCATGTACAGGGCAAGGTAGACAATTAAAGCTATGTTCAAAAATATAAAAAGAACGCATAAGCCTTTTACTACTATAATTAAAAGAAAATGGGAAACTCAATTAAGGCAAGGCATCCATTCAGCAATATATTTTCTCAATCCTTATTTCCATTATGATATAGAGAACTATTGTCAAAAATCAAAAATTCTACAAGGTTTAGTTGAATTAATTAGAAATAATGACATTTGCTCTAAGCCCACAGTTGCAATGAATGAAGTTAGATTATTCCATGGTGGCTTATAAAGCTTTGGAAAACCAATGGTGATGACAATGGTGAAGAAAATGCAACCTGGTAATTCTCTTTTTTATTTTCAATATATGTATATACTTATACAAATATGCTTATTCACTAAATCCTCAAACTTTATAATATGTAGACGAGTGATGGAAGATGTTTGGATCAAGTGCTCCAAACTTGCAGAAAGTAGCTATAAGAATTCTTATTCAAACATCATCTTCATCAATATACGAGAGAAATTGAAGTATTTTTGAATAGATCCACTCAAAGAGACGGAATTATTTGGAGCATCAACGACTCAACGATCTTGTATATATTCAGCATAATCTAAATTTAAAGAATAGGTATGATCTTACATTATATTAATACTTATGTATAAGTGCAATTTAAATAGTATGCATAATCTTAACATAAAGTTATTTATTCATTTTTTATGTTTCACCTTAAAAAAAAAGACATTATGATCCTCTCGACTACACTTGTAATGAAATGGTTAATTTTTTGATACTTGAAGATGAAATAACTCTAGAACTTGACTTACAGGATTTAGAAAATGAGATATACAAAGATGATGCAATGTCAGTTGTTGAAGAACATAATATATCATTTAATTAGTCATGACGTTGCAAGTTGATAATGAAATTTGAGTATATCATTTAAATGAAAGCAAAAATAATATCTTATTTTATATTTTTTATTTGTTAGTGATGCTGACTTAGAGAATGAATGAGATTTAGGCGACATAGTCAGGCTCGATCAATCGGATGCATTTGAGTTTGTACATTTTGGTGAAGCGAGACCTAGAGACTCAACTAGATTTGATTATGCTAAATTAGGAGATCTTTGAAACTATCGGATTGAGATAGTGAAACTTTGATTTTAATTATAAATATGCTTTATTTTTGTTATCGGTTGGTATAAAATACTTTTGCTTCTTTCTATGATTGGTTGTGTCTTCAAGTGAAAAATATTGTTATGTTTTTCTTTTTTACTTTATCTAATATTTACTTTTTATACTTTATATTATAATTATGTTCAATTTTGTTATATATTTATAAATAATTGTGTCATTATTAAAATATTTAAATATAATAATTATTTATTATATCATTCGGTTCATTGATCAATCTCTTCTTCTGATTCATTGACTAGTCCGATTTTTAAAGCCTTGCTTATAATAATTTTTTTTTTTCTCTAAAATATTCAATTTCAAACCTATCATTTATGTGAAACAATGACATGGATTAATAACTGCGGAAATGCGCGGACGGATATTCTTCTCCATCTGCGTTCAGATCCGCGATTCCTATGACTACGCTCGGCTCCTTCGGTCTTCTTCCGGTGTCCAAAGCCTCAAACCAATCCACGCACAAGTTTTAATTGCCGGACTCCATCAAAATCCCTACCTTGCAGCCAGCCTTGTCTCCCGGTATTCTGATGTCGGCTGTACCTACATTACCGACGCTCGCAAGGTGTTCGACAATTTGCGCCAGCGAGATGTTGTTCTATATAACGTCATCATCCGCGGCTATGCTGCCTCCAGCCTTCCGGCTGAAGCCACCGTAATCTACTCCCAAATGCTTTGCAGCGGCGCTGTTCAGCCCAATTTCTACACTTATCCCTTCGTTATTAAGGCCTGTGCGTCTGGTGGCCACCAGAAAACCGGCAGAGCAGTGCATGCTCACGCCATAAGAGCTGGGGCTGGTGAGGATCTCTTCATCAACAACTCACTTATTGCATTTTACGCCAAATGTGCACATGTAGGGACATCCAAGATTGTGTTCGACAAAATGCCTCATAGAGATCTTGTTAGCTGGAACTCGGTGATCTCTGGGCACGCCCAGAACGGATACCATTATGAAGCACTGTTACTTTTGCATCGAATGCTGCCTGAGAATTTGCCTGACTATGTCACCATGGTGTCTGTTCTTCCTGTTTGCATGGTGCTGGCGGCCATTGTGGAAGGCATGTGGATCCACAGTTATGCATTGAAGAGAGGCATTGGAGTGGACGCAGCTGTAGGCAGCGGGCTTATTGAAATGTACGCTAATTGTGGACGCTTAGGTGTTGCTCGGAAGGTGTTTGATGGTATTACGGAAAAGAATGTGGTCGTCTATAACTCAATGATGAGGGCTTATGGCATACATGGGCATGCTTCAGCAGCTCTGGAAATATTTTCTGAAATGCTGATCGGTGGAATTAAGCCAGATTCCATCTGCTTTGTCTCTATACTTTCTGCTTGTAGCCATGCGGGGTTGGTTGAACAGGGCTTTGAGATTTTCGACATGATGGATGCTGAATATGGAGTGGAGAAAGGCCAAGTTCATTTTGCTTGCATGGTAGATCTGCTGGGACGTGCGGGTAAGTTGGGCAGGGCATTGGAGTTCATCGAGAGAATGCCAATGGAGCCGGGAAGAGATGTTTTTGGTGCTTTGCTAGGAGCTTGCAAGGCTCACAAAAATGCCGAGCTTGGGGTGGAGGCAGCAAATAGATTGCTTGTTCTTGATCCAGGGAATGCAGGGCGTTATGCAGTGCTTGCAAAGATGTATGAGGATTTAGGAAGATGGGAAGATGTGGCAAGTGTGAGGAAGGTGATGAGGGATAGGGCAGTAAGGAAGCAACTTGGATGCAGCATGGTGGAAGTTGCTGCAAAGTTTCATACCTTTGGGGTAGAAGATGAGGCTCATCCAATGAGCTTTGCGATTTTTGACGCTCTGGAGAGATTGCAGACAATGGTGGATGAGGAGCAGAAGGTGGCTTTGTTGGCCTGATTGGTATGTTTGCAAGCAGGCCAAGCCAAGCAATGAGTGGAGAGCATTTTAACGAGGTTGCAATGTGAGTATTTTCACAGCTTGCCTATGGATGACTTGGAAAAGAGCTAGAGAAAGAAACCTTACATTTTTTGACACAGTCATCATTACTGTGCGCATTGACAAGTTTTCTCAAATACCCTTCGGTCAGTTTTGCTTTGTGCAACTCTGAGAAATAACTAACATGCTGCAAAAGATCTCCATGTAACAATCGATGGGATTATTAGCAGGGAGAAGGCCGAAATAAATGTTAATACTTCTGCAATTAGTGGTAAATACTTCTGCAATTAAAATATGGTAATTACAAGGATATAAAATGTAAGAGTAAGCAAGTTTACATTGAAAAATATATATATATATATATATATGTTTTGATTTATTTCCAGGCTGTGGCAGTTTTTGATAAAACTTAATATGAAGTCAAACAATTGAGAATCAGGGGTTTTTTATTATATGATTCTATAGGTAATTGATGTTTCTTCATCTATTTTTTAATCTTTATTACAAGAGTTTTTAGGCAATTGCAATCCTCTTAAAAAATTTAAAATAATATGGTATTTAGGCAATTGCTTCCAGCAGAATTAAACACATTGTGAAGAGGTGTTATTGTTAGGGAATGATGAACAAAATACAAAGAGAAATAGTAAATTGAATTAATCATTTTATTTATTATTTTGAATTCCAAAAATATCCTTACAACCAAAACTCGAAAACCCATGTAGTGGAATTGCCCCTTGAACCCGCGACCTGACCGATCAGCCCGCTCCTTGACTGGGGGCACTACCCCCTTGGACCCCCGAAATATCTGCAAAGCTTATAACGATCAAAGATATGAACAAATAGGGGTCGAGTCAAATTCAAGGTAACTCCAACATATATTTTGGTAGCTAAAAGATATTTTTAGCGACCAATTTGTTTTTGTCTCTATTTTTTTATTGCTATTGATTCATTTTCTTATAGTGAAAGGCCGAGCTAAATTCGAGGCAACACCAATAGTTACTCCAGACATTTATGTAAAAAAAGATAAAATTTACCGTATGAGAATATTTAGTAAATTAGGGAATTAGATTTGAATATTTGAAAAATATCAAGGATTAAACTGATCCATCAAAAAATATGAGGACATCTTTGGGTAATTTACTCTATTTTCATGCTTTGATCGCCCCAGATCACTATGACAATTATTTTAAGGGTAAATTGCATCAATCTTAGCCACATAAACCTCATCCAACCTAATCCAAATGCAATCCAGCTGATTGCTTGCTGTCCACAAAGTTAAGCCGTTCCCCTCACCAATCAATCATACATATACAACACAGCACCAATTACAGCCTTCTGCAGAAGTAGAAGATCTTCTCCATCCCAATGGCCAGCCTCTCTGCAGCACTTACCATCCCTTCCTTCACTGGCCTGAAACTTTCCCGCATGAGATCCTCCATGCCATCGCCAATCAGCCAGGCCAAGGCATCAGCAACAAAGACAGCTGTGCACACCAAAGCCTCTCTCAAAGAAGTGGGAGCAGCTGTGGTTGCAACAGCCATGACTGCTATGCTTGCGAGCAATGCTCTTGCTCAGGATGTGCTCCTCGGCGCCAGCGACGGTTCACTGGCCTTTGTCCCCAATGAGTTCAGTGTATCATCTGGGGACAAGATTGTATTCAAGAACAATGCAGGTTTCCCACACAATGTGGTGTTTGATGAGGATGAGATACCACAGGGTGTGGATGCTTCTGCCATCTCAATGAGTGAGGAGGATCTGCTCAATGCACCAGGGGAGACTTACTCGGTGACTTTGACTGAGAAGGGCTCCTACACTTTCTATTGTTCTCCACATCAAGGAGCTGGTATGGTGGGAAAAGTGACAGTGAAGTGATTGGATACTTGGCCTTCTTTCTGATAAAGTTCTGCAAATTCAAAGTTTTTCCATGAAGAGTCTTCTATATTATGTATTTTTAGTAGATATATGTGAAGAGTTTCTGCTTATGGCGAATTTTTTCTCCTTTGTTTTGTAATTCATTCAACTTGTGCAGGGGGGAAAAACAATAAGCATAGTGTTGCTCGCATCAGCTATAATCTGTATTCAGTTGGTTACATAAATGTAGAGCACAATTCAGTTTACTGTATCAAATAACCTTTCTACAACTTAATTTACAATTTGCTTTCCGACACCATCGTTCAATCTTATCTCCTTATCACGGAGAAAGCCTTTTTTACTTGAATTGGGGTGGAGGCAGAAAATAGATTGCTTGTTCTTGATCCAGAGAATGCAGGGCGTTATGCAGTGCTTGCAAAGATGTATGAGGATTTAGGAAGATGGGAAGATGTGGAAAGTGTGAGGAAGGTGATGAGGGATAGGGCAGTAAGGAAGCAACTTGGATGCAGCATGGTGGAAGTTGCTGCAAAGTTTCATATCTTTGGGGGGTAGAAGATGAGGCTCATCCAATGAGCTTTGAGATTTTTGATGCTCTGGAGAGATTGCAGACAATGGTGGATGAGGAGCAGAAGGTGGCTTTGTTGGCCTGATTGGTATGTTTGCAAGCAGGCCAAGACAAGCAAATTAGGGTATACCCCCTGCACACCCCCCCACTAAAAATTTTAAAATAATATGGTATTTAGGCAATTGCTTCAAACATAATTAAACACATATATGAAAAGCGTACAACGATCAAGGATATGATCAGAGTCAAATTCAAGGCAACTCCAACATACATTTTGGTAGCTAAAAGATAATTTTAGCGACCAATTTGTTTCTTTAATTTTTTTATCGCTATTGACTCATTTTCTTGTACTGAAGCGTCGAGTCAAATTCGAGGCAACACCAACAGTTACTTCAGATATTTATGTAAAAAAAGATAAAATTTACCGTATGAGAATATTTACTAAATTAGGGAATTAAATTTTAATATTTGAAAAATATCAAGAATTAAACTGATCCATCAAAAAATATGAGGACTTCTTTCGGTAGTTTACTATATTTTGATGCTTTGGTCGCCCCAGATCACTATGACAAGTATTTTAAGGGTAAATTGCATCAATCTCAGCCACATAAACCTCATCCAACCTAATCCAAATGCAATCCAGCTGATTGCTTGCTGTCCACAAAGTTAAGCCTCTCCCCTCACCAATCAATCATACATATACAACGCACCAACAATTACATCCTTCTGCAGAAGTAGAAGATCTGCTCCATCCCAATGGCCAGCCTCTCTGCAGCACTTACCATCCCTTCCTTCACTGGCCTGAAACTTTCCCGCATGAGATCCTCCAAGCCATCACCAATCCACCAGGCCAAGGCATCTGCAACAAAGAGAGATGTGCACACCAAAGCCTCTCTCAAGGAAGTGGGAGCAGCTGTGGTTGCAACAGCCATGACTGCTATGCTTGCGAGCAATGCTCTAGCTCAGGATGTGCTCCTCGGTGATGGCGACGGTTCGCTTGTCTTTGTCCCCAGTGTGTTCAGTGTGTCATCTGGGGACAAGATTGTATTCAAGAACAATGCAGGTTTCCCACACAATGTGGTGTTTGATGAGGATGATGTACCACAGGGTGTCGATGCTTCTGCCATCTCAATGAGTGAGGAGGATCTGCTCAATGCTCCAGGGGACACTTATTCTGTGACTTTGACTGAGAAGGGCTCCTACACTTTCTATTGTTCTCCACATCAAGGAGCTGGTATGGTGGGCAAAGTGACAGTGAAATGATTGGATATTTGGTCTTCTTTCTGATGAAGTTCTGCAAATTCAAAGTTTTTCGATGAAGAGTCTTCTATATTCTGTATTTTTAGTAGATATATGTGAAGAGTCTCTGCTTATGGTGAATTTTTTCTCCTTTGTTTTGTAATTCATTCAACCTGTGCAGGGGGAAAAAACAGTAAGCATAGTGTTGCTCCATCAGCTATAATCTGTATTCAGTTGGTTACATAAATGTAGAGCACAATTCATTGTACTGTATCAAATAACCTTTCTAAAACTTAATTTACAATTTGCTTTCCGACACCATCGTTCAATCTTATCTCCTTATCACGGAGAAAGCCTTTTTTACTATCAGAAGAAATAAGGAAAAACGTTGTACAAAAAAAAAAAAAAAAAAAAATTTCAGAGATGTTCTTTGAGAAATTAGAAGATATAAAAGCGTGAATAATGATATGAAAGAATACAGAGATCAATCAAATTCAAACATAGAAGAAGAGCTTTTTTTTACTTACACTCTAGATATCTGAATTTATAATTTTGCAAGAAACAATAGGCAAAAGGGTAATCTGAAAGACCAAGCTATTATTGAATAAGAGAACTTAGGAAGGAGAGTTTATAAAAAGTTTGATAGTTGTAGATAATTATTTTTCTTTCACATAGGAAGCAATTTTTGTTGTCTGATCTTATATGAAATACGCGTTTGATATCCATCTCAAATCGTTTAAAATTTTTTGAAATCTATTCCCTCTCTCTAGCAAAACCTTTTTAAGTTATATAGCTTATTTCAATAGACTTGTTTTGATTCAATTATATTTTGATTTTGGGACATATAAGTAGTTTTAAAATATGATTTCTTACAAATTGACTATCCTTAAATATCAAATAAATCAAATTTAATGGACATGAAAGCTCATAGGAGAGTTTTAAATATTAACCCAACTTGGTCTACTCAATTTGCCTAATATTTAAACAATATTAAGTCAAAAAGAGTCAAATTATATATTTAACAGGACAAACTTTTTAAAGTGATTTGACCTAAGTTTTTGACAAAAATAATCTAAACCCTTGATAGAGATACTAGATGAGGATGTTAGATAAGAAATTCTACTTCAACTCAACCCAGTATGATCCCTCCTAAGAGGTTAGTTGTTCCAAATGGCTTAATACATAATTTGAAAGGGAGGAATAGACCTAATCCTTTGGCCAAAGAATCAAATATTTGAAAGTGAATCTAGCTAGGAATATTAGGAACATAAATTTAAAGGTGGATCGACCCATTTGACCCACCTAAATTCACTAATATAGGTAAATGGGGCCATTTACCCAATTAGAGTTTAATATGGTTACCCTAATTATATACTATCCAAAATACGAAACCCTAAGGAATAAAAATTACATTTGATGACCAAATATGTTTAGTTGAATCTCCTATTTGTTTTAATAGTGGTTAAAATCACTAAATCCTATTTAACCATGGTTAAAAACCTTTGCTTAAATGGGATTAATACTATTGCACTTAGCCAATCACACCTTTTCATTTGGTAACCCTATGTATATATTGTTATCCTTCTTCCCTAGCATCTCCCTAGCCCTTAAATCCATTTGATTAGGATAGGTGGAAAAAATAAAGCATCATAGGCCATGAAACTCCATGGTCAAGTTTTACTGGATCAATAAACTACCTCGATCATCACTAGTGAGCTTAAATCACCTCTAACAAGATCAATGATTCTAGTTTTTAGTGACTCATTGATCTACCAATTCCATAGAGGTTTTTTCTTTTTTAATTCCACACTTAGGCAAAAGCGAGGGATCAGTTTTAACAAGTTCTATAACTCACATAGGTAGAATAATCCAACCCTAGCTCATTATAACAAGGTTTAGTTTATGAGGTGATCATAATCACATTTGAGTGAGCTTAGGGTGTGGAGAGAAAGCCTTAGGTCTGCTCTTGCTTTTGAAGTAGATATCCTCATCAAGAGGTTTTTATATGTAGAAAAATTCTCTAGCAGCACTCGGGTCAATTGACCTAGGTTGAACCCATTCCTTCTCTCCCCAACCTGCATGAGTGCATCCTCTTATTTTTAAACAAATTTAATGGCTCCAATCAAGGTGAATTAAGTACTTGTTTATTTTTTTTCTTGATTAATTGGTACATTTAGTGGAGTTAATTAGGATTTTTGCTAAGATTTAGGCCCCTGCTGAAAAAAAAAATTTGGATCCACCTATATTAACAGAAATTGTAGAACCATTTTTTCTTGGATTCTATACCACCAAACTTTGGCTTCTTCCCACTTACTCTGGTTTTATATGGCTCCGCTTCAATTTTTTTTCAACTTGCATCCCATCTCTACTGGATGGCTATCATATCATTCTCCACTTGTCTATCTCACTCCACAAACTCAGAAATTCTCGAAATGAAATATTACTAGTGGATATCTCAAAGTATTCCTTGATCCCACAAAAAGTGACACACCTTCTCTTCCAGAGTACTAACCAGCTGACGGGTGTAAGGCCAAGGATGTAAACTCTTCATCATAATACATTATAAACTTGCTTCCCTGAACTAGCTTTAGGAACTATTCTTACATTCTCTTCCCTACAAACAGTAGTACAAACCAATCTGTAAAAGTTTCTACAAATTCTTCCCAAGTAATCTCAATTTTCTTTTCCCTTAAAATTTCTCCCTCTGTTAACCTATCCCCTAGAAATCATCCTATTCATCCAAATAAACATCATTAACGGTACTTTTTTTCCTTTAGGATACTACATGCCATCAAATGATTTTTCCAACCTCATCAACCAATCTTATGCAACTTGAGGTTTTATCTTTCCTTAAAAATGATAAGGCTTCAATCTCAAAAATAGCTACAAGTGTTAATCTATTTCATCTCCCCTCACACCTAACATCTTACCTAGGCTTCTCCCATTAGTTGTGCTACCAACCCATCAAATTGCATCATCAAATTTGGTGTTAACACAGGGTCAATACTATAGGTTGTAGCAACTCTGAAACTATGTCCATCTGCTACTTTCAAGCCTTGGGTATTCATTTACAACAACACTTTTAAGTATTCAAAATAAATAGTGTTAAATAATAAATTCAATAACTTACAAATAATCATACAGAACTTAATATTAAACTACTTAACACCTTTCTCTTAATCTTGTAAATCATTATCTATGGCTTTGATAATAATCAAATTTCTCCCAACTGCTGCTTTAATACCATTATGTAACACACGAAGACCTAAGGGAGGAATCTAATCTAGAGAGCTCAAGGATTTCTCAACTCCCAATCACATTTTCTACTCGAAGAACCATCTAATTTTTCCAAAAAAAAAAAAAAAAATCAAAATAAAAATTTACATAACCTCCCCTACAAATTTTAATTATATCTAGAATCCCAAAATAATAGCTCATCATACAATGATTTCAATAAAATACCTAAATAATATATGAACTAATAAAATAATGTGTACCTTATAGACCCAAAACTTTTGCTCCCTATCAGAACAAACTTACTCAGCAAGGCCCTTCCCTTTTCTTGAAATATTTTAAACAATAATATAAGTAGAGGACTCAATAGGTCAACCTTTCTCCATAATTGAATTCAATTTACAACTTCAAATTTAAATGATTACGAACACAAATAATTTATATTTTTATTCTAACTTATAAGAGAATAAGGTTTATACTATATAAAGTGTGAAAAAAAAATATTTAAAAGTTATATGTTATCATGGATGCATAAATGCACATAATTTAATGCTTACTTATAACTCCACTTTTACTTATAACTCCACTTTTACTTATAACTCTATTCTAATAAGTTTTAAAGCAAAATCAAAATAGAGCCAATTTAGAAGTTATAATTGCTACAATTTAGGTGCCTAAGCTTATGTGTTGATGATAACAAACATTATTGGACATTATCTAGTTTTTCTTTTTTGTTATTATTGTGTATCTTTTTTTTGTGTATTAGCATTTCAGGTACAACATACACCAAGCATTGTCAAAGGATCAAGACTCAAGACTAGGTAAAATATGTTTGATTTATGTAAGAGTCTGTATTTATTATTTTTTTTGAGATAACGTAATATAAAAAAATGTATGTTAGCTTAGCAACCATGCACACACACAGGTGAGTGAAATTAAATATTTTAATTTTTTTTTTAAGATCATACTATATGATTTGGATTGTACTGTGCAATGCGTACAATCAAAAATTAATTGGAATGTTTAATTAAGGGAATTAAAATTTAAAATAATTATAATATACAATACAAATCATACAGCACAATCAATAATAATAAAAAATTCCAGCCAACATTGAAAATAGGAAATAAATTAAATTATGAAAATTATTATAATAATACAATATGAATAACATCATATTATATGATATTATTAAATTATTCTTTAATTTAATCTCAATGATTAAGAAATTGAGCCAAAATTAATTATAACTTTTAATCGTATTGTATGAAGTTACCACTCGTACTGTACAAATCGAGCAACAACTAAGAAGATGATTATTCATCTAGGATTCATCCTGGATGAATTGTTATTCGATTGAACTAATTGTATTGCATAAGATTGTATTGGACAATTAGTGAAAAGTTTTGAATTGATCGTGCATCTCAAAATATTCATAATACAATATGAAAAGAAATAATTGAACTCATCATTCTATATGATTTTTAGATCATTCTATACGAACATAGATGGGTTAATTTAAAATTAGGATTTTCATGGAGCTCATTATTTAAGCATCTTTTATTTTATTTGAGAAAGTCTTTGGCAAGCAAGGGTTTAAAGAGTGGGAGGAGAGAGAGAGAGAGAGAGAGAGAGAGAGAGAGAGAGAGAGAGAGGTGAAGTAGTGAGAGGGAGAATAGCCTGATGAGATCAGGGGAGTGTGAGAGAAGGTTTACACATGATTTCTCAGGCCAACATCCATCTTGTTCCTCCATAAGCCAAATCTTTACTTGAGGAAAACTCTAGGAATAATATCTTTGTGTCATAGGGCCTCTGACAACTCCATCACACTAGAGAATGTGAAAGGGATTCAGCTACTCAACTGCACCAAAGAATGTGAAAGTGATTCAACAACTCTGTCACACTAGGAAAAGGTGGAAGTGATTCTTGTAAGGGATTCTCTACCTTGTTGTGGAGGAAAAAAGGAGATAAGCTAAA